GGTGCATACAACAGTTTGGGCTGGAAGGAATCTCTGGAGCTAAATATAACTGAATGACTACAGAGCTATACATTTAACACTGGAAATACATATTTGAGATAAAATAGTTGATCTAGAAGGCCAGACTCAGGCATGTGTTCCCAAATGTGATCCCAAAATGTATTTTTACCATGGGAAAGAAAAACTTTGCACGAGGAATCCTGGATTGGTTTAAATCAGTCTATATTGAAGCCTGCGGCACATCTTTGGTGTTTCTATCGGCTAGATAGCCTTAAGTTTATTTCAAAGATTCTTTTTTAAGCATGTAGCTTTATAGCATGTAGCTTTATAGTTTGCAAAATGCTAGGATTTTTTATAGTCACAGATCTTCCGCTGATGATTATCAAATAAAAAGGACTTTGATAGTTTTTAAAATTGAAATATGCCAACACTTAGCTGTAAAAATTAATGTGTCCACATTTGCTTGTATTTTCATTTTTATTGCTTACTGGTATTTGAATTTAGCTTTTTCTATATTTTAATTCAGTTTTAAATGCTTTCTCTGGTATTATTTCTTTCCTCTATTGTCATTCTTGATTTGGTTACTTCTATTTTTTCCTTCTGTTTAGATTTGAACCTGTTTCATTTAAATGCTCTTGTATTTCAAGCATTTGACATTCTTTGTAGTTTTGCTGCCTTTTTAGCTAATGTGTTGTAGTGGTCAATTTTCTATCCACCCTTGCTCAACATGGTAACATCTGTAGATGCCTTATTGATTTGAATGAAATGAAAAATATCTTGATGAGGTTTGTTAATGATACGCTTTGCAAGGTCAGTCATTTCAGCGGAGTTGGAGGTATGAGAAAACTGTATGGTTTACAGATCTAAACAGAAATGCAGTGAAATTGCCAGTAAAGAAAAGGTAAGGATAGTTCAGCTGACAAAACCCATGTCAGCAGTGATGCTGTGTAATCAGAGCATGCCCTTCTCTGCAGGTGGGAGAAAAACTTTTTTTTTACAAATGTGTAAAAAAAAATCTGCAGCTCTCACTTAATCTTGAACTTTAGGGTTCACTGTTCTTTGAGTGGACCTACCAATTTGGAGACTTCATGATTTGGGGACCAGTGTACGAAAAGCTAAAATGCACTAAGATGAAGCCACTTTTTATACTGTATACAAACTGAAATTTGAAGAGATCTCATTGTATAGCAGTTTCTTTATTTGTGGGGAGAGCCCTGTGGAAAAGGGCTTTTTCTGTCCTTCGCAGCAGGAGCCCTTGAGTCGTCCCGTGAGCGGTGCCACGCTCCAGCAGGGAAGCGCGTTTGCTCGGGGCAAACAATGAAGAACGACGCGTGGAAAGAGGCAGGTCCCTATGGAGGCTTTCTCAGAGGAACGCAATTCTGCACCAGATCTCTGAAGAATTATGTCACCACTGTACCTCAGGAGATAGCAACAATAACTCTTAAAGCTAAAGAATTCCCATCTATTGTTAGGCTCTTGTTCCTGTTTTGACCTGGCGTGCTCTTTCAAGACCGTAGATGGTAGTTGTTAGCCAAGGTTTTTGTTCCTCTCCCACCAAGATCTGTTATTTGCTTTATTCCCACTGATACGGGAAAGTAAACACTGTCCTCTGTCCTTCGGCCTTGCTGCCTCCTGCCTGCCACATTTGCAGCGCTTTGGAGAAGCAGCAAGTGTGTTAATTGGGATGTTGTCGTGGGTTTGGAAGGGTGTCGTGGTGGGAACCACCTCAGCCTTGCCCAAGGAGTTGTAATAATTTCTGTTCTGTAAGCAGCGCTTCTCAAACTGTTTTTGGGCAAAATTCTGCCCTTTCAGGGAAGGACTGTGATTTATTCAAAGTATGTGTCAGATTTGTATCTCCTAGCTGCCTGGGCCTTCTGTGTTTTCCTCACCTAAAATGAAATTTCTCTGTTTTGGCACTCAGCACATCCAGAGACTGGGCTAACACACTCCCTCTTCTCCCAAAAGCCCGAGTTATTTGTGTTTCCTTTAGCAGCCTTCTCTCTCGCGTCATGATGGAAACGTTCGTCACTGAAGGACTTGGAAATTGACTGGCCCTCTGAGATCATGTGTAGCCCTTTCTCCACTGGGGAGTGCATGCAGCTCTGCTGCTTCGCACTGGGCCCACGTGAAGCGGCACCAGGGAGCCCGTCCTGCTGGGGAGCTCCCAGCCTGGCTCCCATCGTCATACCCAGGGTGAGGAGCTTCACTTCCCAGGCCGGAATTGCCTCAAACAGCCACAAAATCCCTGCCCTGCTCTTTAAGCTCTTTTGAGCCTCTTTACTTTGACTAAAAGCCCAGGAGTTGGCTGTCTGGTGTGTCCTCTTGGAAAGATATGTCCCACAAGTTAGTGTCACTCTTTGTCCTGTTCAGCGTATGCCGAAATGCCCTTTTGATGAGAATAGCTCCGATTAGCAAAAGGAACCCAGAAAACATCTGCCTTTTACTAACCATACCCAAGCAGCTGACTTGCTCATGTGGGAACTGCGAACAAGTTCACCCCTGTTCCCCTCCTGACCTGAGATTTCCGCTGGGAGAAGCTGCTGGAAAGCAAGTAGCTCCTCACACAGAGGAGTCCACAGTTCAGCTTCCTCCTTCCCCGTTTTCCTTCTCTCTCCTCCCTTTCCCTTGGACAGATTCATGAGTGCCGTGGTGGGCAGAATTTATCTGCCAGCGGGCACCTTGTCCCCTGTCACTGGAGTCTTACAACAGGTTGAAGTGTCAGAAGGAGCAAGAGCGCTTCGAAAGTGTTTGGGTGAAAAATAAGCAAACTGATGAGTCATTTACTTTCACCAATTCTAGCTTAGAGAACTTGTATGAACATTGCAGCTTGTGCCAGCAGATGAGATAGTGGTTCTTGCTATGAAGAAACTGCTGCTTGAAGAGTCTTCTAATATTATAGATTAAAATATGAGCCTGAGATGTGTCCAATTTTGGGAATCCTGTTGAATCCACTTAGTGATTAAGTTTTATCACTTCTCCTGATATTACACACAATTTCTCCCTTACAGTGTAATTCTTCTAACACAGAAATCGGTGCAGTACCTATATTTTTATCAGCTCTGTTCACTTGACAAATACATTCCCTGCTGCCCAAAATTCAGTCCCGAATCTAAAGGTCCATTGAGGTGTTTTTAGTTTGTGCTCAACTCTCAGTTGAGGTTTCCAGGCAGGAGTAATTCTTGTAGCTGGCATTCTGGCTGGGGCTATTTTAGCTATGTGATACCTAGCAGAGGTCAAGCGCAGTAGCAGCTTGCTTGCTTTCCTTGCTGCCTGGCTTCGTATTCCAAATATGCAGCAGAGGATTGTTCAGTTTTCCCGAATATCCAACTTACACCCATACAAGCCACTGCTAGAAATCTAAAACCAGTGTTTTAATCCAGTCGCCTTTGAATGTTGATTTCATTATCGTTAAATATAAGCATCAGCTTAATCTCTCCTAGATTTGCTGGCGAGATTTTACTCTGGATCATGTTACAAAAGTCCTTACCTTTTAATGTTGATGCTGGTATCAATTTACCAATGTCAACTGATTTCTCGGTGATCGTTGCTTTGTCGGTGCTCGTTGACTTAGAGAATGGAGGTGCTAAACAACAATGTTTTTTTAATAGTTAAAAGCTATTAACTATTAAAATATTAACTATAACCAATAACTTGCTGTTGATTAAAATAGCTATTGCCTTCTTCAAGCGGAGTGTGTTTTTCCTCTTAAATGGTTCCAAAAATGTGCCGGGGAATAATTAATACCTCCTGCCAGGGAGAAGTACCTTCTGGAGCCAGATGAGAAGGAATAGCCTGAAATAGCATTTACTTTAGTTTTTGTTTTAGTTGATTTTTTTTAATGTAATCACTGTCTGCAGTTTGAATCAAATTAATATCCGTAGGTTGTAAGTTGCATTTTGGGTAAATAATGGAAAGTTTTAGGAAATGAGAAGTTGAGATTCCAGTGTCAGCTTTCTGCATCTTCCTTTCTGATACTTGGACAAATCCTGCTCAACCAGAGCTTTTGTAGAAATAACAATTTTAAGTTGCATATTTAAATATAATTAATGCTTGAATGAAAACCTTTCAAAACACTGCTTTGCAAGTTCTTCATAGATGTTGTTATTCAAATAATTTAATGTTTTCAATCTTCCCATGTTGACTTTTTTACAGCTAACACAATAGGGTAAAAGCTTCTAGGGAATGGCTATTGGTGCCTGAGGAAATCTAAGTCCTAAGTGTAGAACAGTTGTGGTGCCATCATGTGCCAATTTTGCACAGTGCTCACAAATGTCGCATAAAGCACCTCTGAAGATTTTGCTCTGCCTGTAAAGGTTCTGTCTGTACTGTAAAAAGTTTGCGGATGTACCTGAATGTATTCCCATTTTAAGGTAAACTCTCTTGGCATGAAATCAGCTTACTTTGGGTGGGAGGAAAGTGCTTTTGCCAACGTAATTGTTACCATTCATACACTTAAAAAAACCCATGGTTTTAAAAATCCTGCTCTATATTATGATAATAACAGTAAGTTTTAGCTCTTCTTACCAAGTCTTGGCATCATTTAAAAAGAGCTACATGGCAAAAGTGCTTCTTGCCAGAGCACTGATCTGTGCAATAACCTGTAGCCTGGTGTGCATGTATATATATATAGTTGCATATTTTAAAAATTATCTGTATATATATATGTGTATGTGTGTGTATTTATATATATATATATATCTTTTAAGAAGTAAGTCTCATCAATGAACAACATGACCATTTTGGTAAAAATGGGAGTGTAAATTAAAATTAAGATTGCAGTTCTTACTATGAAATGTCAAAATACTTTGCAGTTCTCCTTACTGTGAAGTCATGGACTAGGAATAAAGTGCACATGCCAACAAAGCATAAATGTACAGTAGTTCTAGATTTCTAAAAATATTTATAGAAATGTTCATTCATATAAAATAAGTGTCTGTATTTTTATTATTCTTGAAGAAAATCATCAAAGGTTGGTCAACTGAGTGCTCTTTGTTTTCCAGAAACCAGCAAACATTCTGGTAATGGGCGAAGGTCCAGAAAGAGGAAGAGTCAAAATAGGTAAATCTTTTAAGAAAATTTCATAGCACAACTAAGAAGTAATTAGAAATACTGCATCTTCAGTGAGAGACAGAAAAAACAAACTCTTCAAAACATTCCATGATGAAAACACGTATTCAAATGACATCCTTCATAGTCATATCAAAGTTGTTTAGGCCTATATGAGGATAAGTATATTTATGAGTAACTTGTCTGTTACTTAAGAGATGACAATTTTTAAGTTTTAGTGTTTCTGAGCTTTTTGGCAAAGCTCTTAAAGTACAATGTGTAATTTATGCCCAATTCTTTAAATGTTCTTTCTTTTTTTTCTTCTTTTCCCAGCTGATATGGGTTTTGCCAGGTTGTTCAACTCACCTTTGAAGCCACTGGCAGACTTGGACCCAGTTGTGGTGACATTCTGGTACAGGGCTCCGGAGCTGTTGCTTGGAGCCAGGCATTACACAAAGGCCATTGGTAAGCTGCTGAGTGAGGAAGAGCTTTATCTTAAACTTTCTTGGAGGAGGGAAGCCGTAAAACAGATGTGACAGTCAACTGACCAGCTAGGTTTTTCCATGAAGTGACAGCAGATGCAGTCTGATCCAAATCACAGTAAATCCAGATGGGATCTTTTTGAGGACTCAGTGCCTTTATTTTTGGAAGTTAAGATTAATGTTAGAAATATTAAATGCCCTTTTTTGTTGTTTGTTTTTTTTTTAATATGGAAATATTCTTTGCATTGGCTTATATGGTTTTCTGATGTGGGCTCAGAAATCTTGTAATATCTTCAAATGAAAAAAAAGCTGTGGCTGGTGAAGTGGTGTTCTCCTGTGTTCCTTATCCAGATGTTTTGCACTTCTGTAAAGCATCTGGCTTGATAACGTGAAGGGCAGTCTCCTGCACAGCTTGCAGTCTGCTGATCATTCACTCCTGAGGGCTTATGAAGCTCCATGTTCAGGAAATGCTGGTGGCCAGATCCTTGTCTTTATTACAGCTTAATAAGTTCCATAACCACGATCCAATCAACCTGAGTGCCTAGCAGTTTGTACAATAAAAGCACTTGAGATGCATGGGAGGTTTTCTGTCTGCATGATTAGGTTGTACGTTGAAAATAACTGCGAAGGAAGCAGTGTTCCTGTGTTGAAAGGGGTTAAATCATTCCTCACATGGACAAAGGTGACTTTCATGACAGTTACCAGCATTTTCTTATTATAAAGATTTTTGCAGGTGCTATATGATCTCTTGTTCAGAAAGTTAGAAAACACTCTTATACTAGCAT